CCCCAAAACCCCAAAACCCCAAAACCCCAAAACCCCAAAACCCCATATTATTATAAATTATTGGAGTTCTCTAGTATAGTTTCCTCAGAATTAACCCCCAGAGCGAGAACAACTAATTTTCCGGCAATTAAAGGTATTCTGAATAATAGACCAAAATTGTAGTAATTCTTGATTACTAGGTAATAGCAATTAATTCTTAAGCTCCTCTGTTTTGATATACTTGGTTCAGCAAGTATACGCTCTAAATAGAGGCAAGGATTTATACTGCCATTATTTTGTTGAAGAATTTTCTACTCTTCTTCTTCCTCTTCTTCATAAGCAATTGTTGCACCAGAGTAAATTGACGGAAGAGTATCCAAGCAATAATCTTGAATCTTTGTGAAAGTATTCTCATAATCTTCAATATGTTGCTCAACTTCTGAAGGACTGAAGCAGAACTTAACATATTTGTTTTCTTCAAAGCAATGCTCTGTTAAGTACAATTCGAAGATATTCTCATTAGTTTCTTTTGATTCTCCTTCTGTCTCTGGTTCAGAATCCTCCTCTTCTCCACAATCAGATTGACACTCTTCTGTCTGTTGATCTGTAGTGTCTGATTCCTTAGAAAGGTAGTAGGTAACGTCATAAGGGAAAATAAGATTATCATTCTTAAGTTGAATATTATCAAGAACATCCACATCAACTAAAGCGCCATCATTAACATCAAATCTTCCACTGACTCTTGAGAATTCTTCATTAAATTGCTGAACAATACTCTCTTCTATTCTTTCTTTAATAAGTTTAGAAAGGTTTTTCATAGCGAATTTGTTAAGTAAAGGTCTAAATGGCTTTACAAAGATCATATTCCATTTCTTTGGGAGATCCACTGTCCAATCTTTCTTATTAAGGTCGAGAGAAATATCTTTGATGTAGAAGGAAGGAGCATTCGTGTATAGAACTTTGTGAGTGGTCACTCCAAGAGTTATTATAACTTTATTAATTTTTCCAGAAACTTTACTATCGAATTTTTGTTTCAGAATCAAATTTTGATAAGCGAGCTTAAAGTCTCCTTCTATTTTCTGTTTTACTATCTCCATTGTAACTGTGTTATTCTCTTCATCAAAATAAATTTTTATGTCATCAGGGTGTGGAGAGCTAATAGATACGTTCCCGGAGTAAATCAATAATTTTTTATTTGGACTATTATCAAATTCGTATTCCATAGGAGTGTCAATAATAGTCTGCTCCAATGCTTTCTTGGTATAGAAAGCCTTCATTCCGACGGTGACTACATCATGGCTTTGGGCTGCAACTAGGCAGGGCACCAGGAGAAACAAAACAAGATATCTGTTCATCTTTGAAATTAATTATTATAAAATATATTCATTATTTAAGGTTTGCTTGGGGTTTTGGGGTTTTGGGGTTTTGGGGTTTTGGGGTTTTGGGGTTTTGGGG